TGATCCTCTAAATAGCTCCACGATTGCCTATGTATTCAGTGCAGATTAATTCTGATTTGAACGTCATTACATTGTTCAATTTAAGATGATGATGATTCACTGTGGTTCTCCCTTGAGTGCTGGACACCCTGTTAGTTTTGCCCAAAGTGTGGGTTGAAAAATGATTCGTTTGAGGAAGTATCAAGATTCATTTTCCTTGTGTTTTTATGCTAACCGTTTCTCTGTTCCTGAATAAAATTCCAAGACGTATGGAGAAACACTTGTGGGAAGGCACAAAAGACCCTCATTGAAATGGTGCAGAAAATGAGGATTATTAACAAGATTGCCATGGAAATAAGATGGCTGATGTTCCAGTGTGTGTCTGACCCAACACAGCGCACGATGAACCTTTATCTAGCCAAAATGTTGGACAAACACGTTTGTTACAAATTGACCAATAGCATGAATGTTTTTTTTTTCCTCTTCTCTTTTACAGTATTATTTTATGGTCACGGACTTTTTCCTCTCTACAGGGCATCAGTAACATACCAGAGTCTCGAAATGACAGTTTTACTGTGCTGGTCACATTTGAAGCTTTGATAAAATAGTCAACTGGACTCCCTGACTTTTCCCTTAAAGAACTGAAACCCAGAAAACAGCCATTTGCTTCCACAAGCTTCTTTCGTTATGTTTTTATTTCCTTTCTCTGTGTTTCGTTTTCTGCAAAGGTCCCGTGGGTCTGGTGTTGGGGCATCGTTTCACCTTACTTGGCGGGTGTTTCTCTCAAGGCTGTTCGGTGGGTTCTTGGTCTTGACCAGCATTTGAAACAGGAAATCATGTTTCTTGATGTTTCGCAAAAGAGGCTTTCTAACAAAGAGGTAGAAAGAGGAACGTTTTTGAGTGGGGCCGCTGCACATGGTCCTTTCAAAGAGCCCTGTGTGTGACACGGGCAGGCTAAGGAGGAGCTTTGTAAAACCCTGTCTTGAATGTAGACACCCGGAATCCAGCCCTATCTGGCTTCTGGAAAAGTTTTAAAAAAATGTTTTATTTTTCTTCGTGGATGATGGAAGATTGTGACTAGGAGCTTGCATTTACAAGGGAATCAGTTTCCTCTTCTTCCTAAGTCTGAACGGTATTAAGCACCCCGCACTGTGATTTTTATCTTGAATGGGTGGGGGGGGAGGCCACGGGGAAATAGCAGAGGCGTGAGATTTTCCTCATTTTCCTTTTGAGAGAACAGGTGAGAACAACAGAAAGCGATGGGCCTCGCGAACGTGAAATGTAACTTGCTACTGAGCGTTTTTCCAAATCTGGATAATATAACAGAAAGCTGTGATGATGGAAACCAGGATCTGAAAGAACTGATTTAGCATCTCTGAGCCTGTCTATTCAGGCTGCACGAATGAGCTATTGTGGCTCAGCCAAGGGCACGACAGACCCTCCTTTATCCGATGGATTCAGATGGGCCAACTTTGCTGATGTCTTGGGCCCTGTAATAGAGACTTTAAAATGTGACCAAGTTTATCTCTACTGTAGATTTGGCATTGACAAGTGTCCTTTTGGAAAACAGCTACTGCGTGGGGGGAATGTGTTATTTTCTTTTAGGGGAAAAAAATAACTACCCTGGATATTGAAAAATATTTTTCAGCCTTTGGCATGCAAATATTTAATAGGCTGATTAAACAGAGTAACACAGACTGCACGTGTGCCTCAGTGATCACAGGAATGCTGTAATGTGCATTCTCTGGATTCAATACCTGTAGCAAGGACGAATGAGTTAATATTTTTTAAAGGCAGCAACAATGGGTACATAAAATAAATACCACAGCTTTAGGGGAAGGTGCAATTTTTAGCAAAAGGTCAAAGTATATGTGAGATTTTTCTGGCAATAAAACAAAGAGAAAATTCGCAAGTGTTAGTTTTTTAAGTATAGAAGAACCTTTTTAGATTATCACAATTTCTACTAATAGCCCCAAATTAGCTATTCATTTCCCTCCTCTCCCCTCCCCTCCCCTCCCGTCTTCCTTTCTTTCCTGTCCCCCTGACCATTTCCAACAGTATCTATCTACAGAGCAGGCTGCTCTGGCATTCCATGTGTATCCCAGTCAATCTCCCACAGGCTACAATTCCCAGAGCCAAGCTCCACACCAACTGGAACCAGAAACTTGAAGTAGAAACAATGTAGATATTCAAATGATATCCCAAGGGCTACAATTCCCAGAGCCAAGCTCCACACCAAGTGGAACCAGAAACTTAAAGTAGAAACAATGTAGATATTCAAATGAGGCAGTCCTGGGTTAAGAGCTTTGTGCTTGTGGGTTCAAGTCATAAAATTCAGAAAGTTAGCTAACAATTTTTTCCTAATGCCTTTCTTAAATATAAAGTGATTGCTTTATCAGGCAGCATAAAGTTAGCAGATGAAATCCCCTAAATAAATAACATTTTAATTACCAAAAAAATCTCCTCTGAGCATTGATAGAGGTAAATTTTAATTACACTCATTTGACTTGTTACTATCCTCATTGCTAGGACAACATTCCTAAGTAAAGAAGCTTAAGGCAGTCAAGGTTTAGTCAGTTTGAGGACACAGACCACCATGGAGGGGAAGGAGGGGGGCAGGTTACACACATCTGCAGTCAGGAAGCAGATACACGCGAGTGCTGGTACTCAACTCACTATTTTTGCTTCTGTCCCGGATTCCAGCTCTTGGAAAGGTACCACCCACACCATCAGGATGCGTCTTCTCTCCTCACTTAACTTACTCTAGAAACTCCCTCACAGAAAGGCCCAGAGAGTTGTAACCATGATGACTCCAAATTTTATTAGTTAACAAGATTATTTCTTCCAAGCAGCTATTACTTTCTGATACTTACTAGATGATATACACTGAGTGTACTGTTACCTGCAGTGATCCCGCATATGGTATCTAATGTGAATGAAATACTTATCAACGCAAAACCATTAATCGCCCCTCAAAGTGGATACAAAATTGTTGACTTTGGAGGCAGATATGAGTGACTGTGGATCAGGCACACAGAATGAGGTTACTCCAAATCCCTGGTCCAATGTGGGAACTACTTCATGAAGTTCACATAAAAAAAGATCATTAATTAAGATACTTTTCAGACACGGTGGTGGGGATATCGGCGTAGACGTTCACGGCAGAGTCAGGAGACCTCTATCTACTATAGGCCTCAGATGCTATCTAATGTTATTCTTCGTTCTGGGGCTGGTAATGGTCTGTAATATATCCCAGGAGGCTTCACCTGATCATTACAGAGATGTTGTATCAGACACAAAGGTTGGCAAACAAGGTTATTAGGGGAGGCAGCAGATACCATGAGATAAGTTGCAATGCTCCACTACCAGGAATTTTTTTTAATTTGTTAATGGGCGTTTGTAAAAATTTCACTTTCAACTATGTTTTCTTTCTGTGAACCGTCTTTCAGAGCTCATCGTGGAGACAGAAAGTTTTTAATTAAAAATATCGTTTCCAGACAGTCAATAAACCAGGGCTCTGGATCGAGTTTCAAGTATCAATCCTTTCTTCCTTCACAGCCCCGCACACCAACTTCTACTCGCTGACCCTAAATAATTTGTTTTCCAAGCCAGAATGTGTTTGAAAGTTGTTAACGTGTCCTAAATGACTTTTCATTATCCCATTTGCTATGTGTGTCTTTATAACAGTCATCACAAAGAGCTACATAAATTCAGGAATAATTGAGGCAGTGTTCAGCTTAGCTCGCAAATTATAGCTCCCTGTTGACATAGCCTTCCATTTGACATCTTTTTCTGTCTATAATTAAGGTTAAACTCGATATTTTTCTTTAATTTTTTTGTGATTTTCATAAAATGTAGTTTGATAGTGTTCAGATCCCCTCCCTTATCTACACTCTGTGCACTGCCAAGATGGCTGGTCAGTTACTCATAGGCACTCAGAGCAATGGTAACAGCATGCACAAGCCCTGTGCAAGCCCAAACCAGACAAAAATCCCAGAATAGACACGGGGAAGTAGGTAAGAAATCCCATATGAAATCTTATGGATATAAATTGCATTTATCCTTTAAGTAATTCTAGTTTGCCCTGTTATTGGTAAATTCTTGAGTGCCTACCAGGAGATGTTGTCTCGTAGATATTACTTTCCTGAATCATCCTAAATTCCACTGCATAGATTAATTATTCATTTGTTATCTATTTGAAATACAGATGTGCATATGTGCCCACATATATCTGGGCACAAACATGCAGTTGGGTATGCACATGTCTGCAAATACATGTGAAGACCAAAGGCTAGGGTGCAGACTATTCAGTTTATTAAATATTGAGGCAGGCTGTCTCACTTGAACCCAGAGCTCACTGACTCATCTAGTTTAGCTATTCAATTTCCCTTGGGG